ACCAGGGTGTCTTACTTTGGAAGTGGCTACAACTTTGGAAGTATTCATTCTTGACTGCTGCATCTTGGGAAGCCCCAAAGGCTCACACTGGTCTGTGCCTGCTTGTACCTCTCTGGTCTGGTACCTGTCTCAGCTGCCCCTCTGGGCTAAAGAATGGGTCGGTGGGTGGGCACACCCTCACGGCTTTTTCCCTCCAGACTTTGTATGGCCAGCAAGTTGCTTTTGTTACTCAGCATTGGCTTCCTTAACTGTATAAAATGGGTTAGCACCTGTCTTCGAACTCAGGTCAAACAGGGCTGGGCTGGTGGGTGCCCAGCAAGATCGAGCATGTTGGGTCACGGAAAACCCACGTAACCTCCTGAGAAACAGCAAAGGCTAGCTGCAAGGACGCTGGCCTTTCTCTTTCTTCTTACTGGCCTCTCACCCAAAGCTGCACTCTGCATAATTAGCCCTTCCCGTAAAACCAGGTGGACTTGGACAGCCACGAGAACAAACATGCACCTCAGACTAACAATTTCCAGATAGTCACTGAGCACCCACTCTGTGCTATGCATCACGTGACCGCAGCGAGGAGAACACCCAGAGGCAGACACCATCTCTCCACCATGGGAGAACTCGGGGCAGGAAGTTCCACACCAGGGGAGGGCGCTGTTGTCACTCAACTAAGGAGTGTGCTCTGTGGAATGCTCTTGCCACTCTTGCTTTTAAAGTCCATCTTGAAAACCTAGAACCTTTTACGTCCCCACAGCTGTGACAGGATTTATAGACAGAGCAGCACAAGTGTTCTCGCCAGGCCTGTGTGTGCCACCCTCCACCTGTCTTGTCCTTGTCCTCTTCCCAGTCCAGCGAAACGGCAGATGAGAATCCTAAGTGTCATTAGATGACCAAACCAGACATGTTTTAAAAGCCAGTCACCCCATGCCAGCTGAATAAGTGGAACCACCCAGACTATTTAAGACTGGCGGGGACTCACCCTGAATTTGTTTGTGACTCAGTCACATTGAGTGTGTGTTTGGTCTCAGCCCTTGAAAAAAAAACCTCTTCCAATCTGCTGGGAGAGTTCCTTACTAAAGATGTGTGTTTTTCTGCTTGAAACCTACAGGAGAGGAAATGAGGCCTCGTTTGTTCCTTCCAGAAGGGCTGGAGGCCGCAGAGTTATTGAAAACACAGATGGTTCTGAAGAAGAAATGGACGCTCGGGACTCAGACTTCAATGGAACCAAAGCCAGTGAATAAATCCAGGATTATATCCGTGGCAGGGAAAACAAAACACTAAAGGCAGCAGAACCCAGAAGATTCTGCTTAGCATTTGGGCTCCGTTCACTCGAGTCGCAAACTTCACCCCACCCCCACCATGAGTTGACCCACAGCCCTACACAAAGGGTGTGAATTCAGGTTTTAGGATGTGCCATCAGAGAAAACCCCAATCAGAGATGCGGGCCCGACCTTGAGCTCCGTGGGACTGTGCAGATAGGTTTTAGGAGAACAGTCACAGTCACCAATCACCAGCAACTTTGTTTACATGAAATGAGCAAGTTACCTAACTGGGTGCCACTGTCCCAAGCCTACTCCCAAATCATTCATTCCCTGACCAGTCAGCCACTCCAGCTCAGGACGATAGCCCTTGTATGAAATTTCCCTCTCCCTCCCTGGCTGCCACACCTCAGACACGCACAGCTCACCAAGACCAAGTGACTTTTCTGGTCACATGCATTAAAAAGGAGACACTGCTCCAAGGGCTGAGAACAGAGGCCACACTGTCTCACGTGCACTAATAAACGGTTATACGTCACGAGAATGGAGTTGGCTTTTCTGTCAAGCTGTTGTCTCTACAAGAATGGGGCAGGGTGTTCTTATTTAATCCTGTGAACTTTTGAGCTGTCTCATAAATTGGGGAAACAATCGTGGAGAGGTGCAACATGTCTGAGTGAGGGCTTCATGTAGACACAAGCGGCTGGAAGTTTGTGTGCCAGCCTGTGTAACTGGAGTACGAAGGAGAGCGTTTTACGACCAGCCTGTCTCTTCTGACTGAGTAGCTGGTCCAGAAACCCAAATGCCCCAACACCTTTGAAGACCCTTTTGCACCAACACTGGGAAAATCTCAAATGGAATGGGCCATAATCAAAACTCAGGCACACTAAAATTATTGAATAAAATTACCTTCAGGCATTGGGCAAAGGGGCATTATGCTTGTATTCCCAGCACTTTTGGGGGGAGGGGTGGGGGAGAGGTAGGAGGATGGAAAACTTAAGGCCCTGGGCTACATAGTTCTGGGATGGCATGATTTATATAATGAGACCCTGTCTCAAATAAAAATAAAAGTTACTTTCAAGCTACATGTAGAAGGCACACATGAAAGCCCAATGAGCCAATGAACTCTGAGTTTAGAACTGGGTCGTGTCTCCAAGCTGCACAAATATTACAACATCCTAAATACACAAAGTCTTAGGTTGTAGTATGAATCCTAATCAGTATTAGTAATAATGAAACCCAGAGTCAGATATTAGGGGAGGAGGGAAGCTGAAAGATCAGAAAAGCAAAAAAGCTAGCCACTAGTTCTCACCTCTACTGAATCCTCAGACCTAAGGGGGGATTCTGTCTCTAGGAATTCTGACCGAATGCATCCTCAGGCTGCATTTCTCTGGTCTCTTCCCTTATAGTCCTCTCTGCCCAGCTGTATCACCTGTCTCCACCTCCCTGGTGTTAGGACTAACGGTGTGGGATCCCAAGTGCTGGGATCACCTTTGTACGAGCTGTTTCTCTTTTGGACTGCATCAATTTCATGTAGTAGTCCAGGGTGGCCTTGACTTAGCAGAGATCCGTCTGCCTGGCTCCCGACTGCTGGGATTAAAGGTGTGGCCACCACCACCTGGCCTCTATAGCTGACTAGTGTGGCTAGCTCTGTGCTCCATCCTCAGGCAAGCTTTATCTGTTACAGCAAAGTCTCGCCACACTACGGACTTCTGGCCCCAAGCCTTTCAAGGGCAGCATGTTCAATCGTATTTCAGGCACAAGGTTTCTTGATCTGTTTAAATTACAACACAGTATTTGTGTTCAGCAGAGCAGGTCAGCAAAATACCTCCGAAAGCCAGACACATAACATTTAAGACTGGTAGTCACAACATGACAGCGTAAGCCTCACGACCTGAGTTTAATCCTTGGGATTCACATAAAGATAGCTGTACTCTGAACACCATGTGAGTGAGAGTGGCCAAAGCACTGTTGGCCAATAGGGAAGCAAGATAGGTGGGACTAGGAGTCCAGGAGGATTCTGGGAAGGAGAAACACAGAAAGTCAAGATGTAACGCCATGGGGTAGGAAGCCCAGAAACTTTTCTCCGGTAAGAGAAACACTTAGATTAACAGTTATGGGGTAAATACTTAAGTCAGAGCTAGCCAGTAAGAAACAAGCAAGGCCAACAGCTTCATAATTAATACAGCGTCTTGTGTGTTATTTGGGGACTACAAAGTGGCAGAGCCCAGGTGACTGGTGGTGTAAAAACCAAAGCAGCTGGCAAGGAAAAGGCTTCTCTCTACATTGTGGCATAAACTCCTTCAAACACAAATAGTGGACTTGAAAATAAGTATTTCAGACTTGTAGGCCACATCTGCCTCATTAACACATTCATCTTCAAGCAAAACTTAAAAAAAAAACAAAACACCTAGGCATGGTAGTCCATGCCTATAATCCTTGGACTTGGAAGGGTGAGGCAGAGTTGACCATAAGTCAGAGGCTACCTTATCCCTCCCCCAATAACCATTTAAGAAACTGTTCTTAGCATGAAGACCCTACAATAGCAGGCCTGGGCCCTTTAATTTTCCCAATTATAGTACTCTAGGTAGACACGCCATACAAAAGTTATAGTCCACACAAACTTTCCCAAAGCCCAATTCAACAGGTTAAAAAAAAAAGATGAGACAGGAAATACATTGAAAAAGCCGTCCTCCCACTGAGTGCTCATATAACTGGGATGGCATACACACACTCCCCCCTAACCACTACTGAAAAGTTGACTTCAATAGGAACTTTTAAAGAACAGATTCAGTGTGGGAGTGTTGGGTCCCAGCCCCCACCGGGTCTCTGGGAGTCGCTGGTCAGTCTACAGGTGCATCCTGTTTTCCAGTCCTGGCTTACTGCCCGGGCCTTGCCCCTCTGACATCATCTAGCAGGAAGAAAACACGATCTCTTCCCCCTGGGGTTTTTCCACTGTGCTGTAAGCCTGTATATAAGACTGCTTCCTCTCTACAATTAGAGAGAGACCTCTTAGTACTTGCAATACACACACACACACACACACACACACATACATACACACTCTCTCTCTCTTGCAATAAAGGCATGCACATGCATTGTCTTAGTACAAACAGTCCAATGTCTTTCATTTCCCGATACATCAGACTGTGAGGTGTTTGCTTTGCAAGCATGAGGTCCTGAGTTCGGACCCTCAGTGCCCACATAAAAGCTGTGCATGATGGCAGAGAAAAGGAGGCTCTAGGAGCTTGTCGGCCAGCCTGACCTAATGGATGAACTCGGGTCTAATAAGAGACCCCACCTCGAGCCGGGCGTTGGTGGCGCACGCCTTTAATCCCAGCACTCGGGAGGCAGAGGCAGGCGGATCTCTGTGAGTTCGAGGCCAGCCTGGTCTACGGAGCAGAGTTCCAGGACAGCCTCCAAAGCCACAGAGAAACCCTGTCTCGAAAAACCAAAAAAAAAAAAAAAAAAAAAAAAAAGAGACCCCACCTCAAACACTAAGACACCAACCAACCTCTGTGCACGCACACTTGTGCCCACATACACACACCACCCAGACAACTGAGGAAGATACCTGATACTGATCTCCGGGCCCCATACGTGTGCACGGGTGCCTCCAAATCCAAACAAGCAACTGCATATATCCACACACAAAATGCTTCCCCACCACTGCTTTAGAACTTGGCTCAACAAAAACGAACTCAAGGGCTTTGTGCACAGGCTTGGAAGGACAGACACAACAGCAAGGCAGGCATTTCTTTTGATTTTATTATTATTATTAATATAAAAAATAAAGTCCATCTTTTCCCAGGTTAGAATGTCTGAGGGGAACAAACAGCCACACCGCTTAAGCCTCCTTGTGAATGCCAGAAGAACCCAGAAAATTCCAGGTCCAATTCAAGGCCAGTGTTGCCCCCGTACTAGAAAGTCAGTAGCTCTGGAATTAGTGTACACTTCTCTTTGTAGACCAAAGAGTAAGGCAGGGCTTCACCAGACAGACAGACAGGCAGACAAACAGACAGACAGACAGCAGTCTGGGGTTGCAGTTCCTGTGCTGACTTCCCCACATCCCAAGGGAGTCAAAGATCTCAATCCGATATTTTAGTCATCCTGGTTATTCTCCAATGTCTGGATGGAGTCTTGTTCTTAGGGATGGCATTAACAAGGGCCAGTCCAACTCCAAGTTGTTCAGGGCCATGATGGAGATGTCACCCCTACATCAGGGCAAGGGACTCAGAAAAGATAGAAAGCTGGGTTTATCTATAAAGGATCATCTCCCACTGACCTGAGAGTCAGATCCATCTCTAAAAACCTTCATGAGGCCGATTAAGAGTGTCAAAGAGCTGGCTGGTGGCACGTGCCTTTAATCTCAGCACTTGGGAGTGGAGGCAGGTGGATCTCTGTGAATTCAAGGCCAGCCTGGTCTACATAGCAAGTTCCAGGACAGCCAGGATTACACAGAGAAACACTATCTCAAGAGAAAAAAAAAAAGCCTTATGCCTTTGTTATCTCCCAGTCCTAGACACAGTTTAACCATGTTGTAAAAGCACCAGGAGAATGTTCCAGAAGACAGCTCCAGCTGGAAATAGGTTGCAGAGGAGAGCTCCCGAGCTGGGCTCTAATTCCCCCTGAAGATCATGCATATTCAAAACACCTCTGGAGACCATTAAAACTCTAGGTAGCCAATGCCAGTGTGGCCCCATCAGCAGCCTAGGGTAGGGGTGGGGACGGCAAGCAGCCCATTTCTATGACACACACTGCCAGGAACTGGGCCAGCAGCCTTGTCAGCTTGGGCCGCACAGCACCAAGTGAACGGTGGTGATGCCGGCTCTTATTTTTCAGACTAACTCGAAAATAAAACAAGCAAAAGCTGAACACAAGAGGTGTCAGACAGGTGAGGGCGCCGTTCCCATCGATCCTAGAGCAAAAGCTTGACCACACCCTGGGCGGACGGCAGTGCTGGCGATGAGAGCTGTGGGGCCGGCTTCCCAAACTCCAAGCGTTTTCCTGACCTTCAGACAGAGCAAACCACATTTACTGGATGAGAGCAGTTTCCCAGTGGCTAGCTCAGGCCCCCCGGGTTCTAAGAGTGTAAGTCAAGAGCGGAAACAAGTCTCACAGGGTCTCAACTTCCTCTCCTGTGAAATGAGGAAAAGGGTACTGGCCATCCAGTTCCCTGACTCCAAAGGCCGCAGAAAAAGCCCCCAATCTCAGAAGACCCCACGAAAGTGTCCGAGTCTTGATCACTTCACTTAGAGTGGGGAGTGCTTAGAGTTGAAACTTATGTCTACTGAGCAGCATTCCCAGCCACTTGAATTTAACAACAACAAAATTAAAGCTTAAGAGATGACTCAACAGGTAAAGATGTTTGTTGCTTAGCCTAAAAATCTGAGTTCAACCCCAGAACCCACACAGTAGAAAGAAGTGACCTTCACACATGCTCTCTAGAAAACACACTGTGCATGTGTGTCCCACACACAATATAACTTTTGAAAACTGACTTTAAATAAAAGTGTTGAGTGGGCGTGGTGGTATGTATGCATTTAGTCCCAGCACACAGCTCTTTGGTCTGCCCAGCCCCGTCCGTCAAGCCCCAGGCCAGCCAAGGCCACACAGTGAGGCCTGGTTTCAAAAATCAACGGATACATTAAAAGCCCGTGTCAAAGGTCCAGAAGCTACGTGTGCACGGTGTGCCCATTCATCCCGCTTCCCTCCAGTGCCTGCCTCACACCTGTCAGCCGAACGGCCTGGGGCCCAGGGCAACGCAGGCGGCTTCTGGGGAGTCCTAGATCTCCAGGCAGCTGTGGGCTGCCCTTAGGGGAGAAAATGAAAGAAGCCTTGGCAGTCAGGGCTGTTTCCCATTCTTGTGGCTGGTTTCAGGGATCTGGTCTGGCTGGACTGATTCAGTCCCTTTAGTTTCTTGAAGGTTCCCACAGACTTAAAAATGCGGGCTGTTGGTAAAGTGCTTGCCTTGCGGCTGCCGGTCCCAAGTTTCATCCGCAACACTCGTGTCAAAAGCGGGACATGATGGCTCGTGCTTTTGATCTCAACACTGAGGAAGCAGAGTCAGGGCTCCCTGGGCTTAGCCTACTTGAGTTCCATGCCAGTGAGACTCTGCCTCAGAAACCAAGGTGGACAGCACTTGAGGAACACCACTTAAGTTGACCTCTGGTCTCCACATACACAAGTGTGTACTGTCTCCTAACTCACAAAACGCTCGGGGGAAGCGCAGCTCCCCAACAAGGGACTTCCTCACAGAGCAGAAGCGCATACAAACACTGCTCTCTCCTTGTTGGCCTGCCCAAACTAGGTATCTAATTTGGCTGCAAGCAAAGGGTTTATTCAAGGCCAGCCTGGGCTACAGAGGAAGTCTTTGTCTCAAAAAAAGAAGCTGGGGTTTGCTGCAAAGATCCTACAGCCTGAAAACTAGAGACAAGGCAGGGTTGGGCTGGCGTCTCATCTGGGCAGCCTAATGCCTCCCGACAGAGTCTGACAAAGGTACTGACCCCTTATCTCCCACACCGGTGCTGCTTGGCCGTCTGTCACCACCATCTCTGGTTTTGGTTCCTCGACCTGAGGCTGGCCCACTTGTCCGACTTGGGGACTGATCATACACGAAGTTTCTGCATGATGCTAGTTTGGACTCCAGGGCCTGGGAAGAAACATGCTTTCATCAGTCAAGGGTTAGACAAGGGGCTGGAGAGTATCAAGCTTGGGGAGGGAGTGCTTGCCAAGTATTCATGAAGCCCAGGGTTTGATCCCCCAGCAGTTCATAAACTAGGTATGCCATACCTGTAACCCCCAAACTCAGGAGGCAGAGACAGGAGAATCAGAAGTTAAAAAGTCTGGGCCACGTGACCCTGTTCCTATTACACCCTCCCTCACCCCTCAAGGAAACAAAAAAGGCAGGGACACAAACATATGAGTGCCATTAGGCATGCTGGCTTTGACCCCAGCCCTCAGAAGGCAGGGGCAGGCAGATAGTGCGACTCCAGCAAAATCAGATTCCAGCTCCCTTGCCAGCGTGGTTTCCAGAGTGAGTTCCGGGACAGCCAGAGTTACAGAGAGGTTAGACTATCAAGAAAACAGAGATGGGAGCCAGGGAAGAGAGAACAACCTAAATTGTGTTCCCAAGATTCTGAGGGGTCCTCAGTGGAACCCAGTGCATCTACAAGGACTAAAACTACCCACCTAAAATATCCAGAAGCTTCCCAGAAAAATCAATAACTCCACCTAGTGAAATAAGAGCTAGGCATGTGACACACGCCTGTAACCCCGAACTCAAGGGACTGAAGCAGTTACTGTAAGTTCTAGGCCAGCCAAGGTGACACAGCAAGACCCTGTGTCAAAACAAAACCAAAAAAGAACTACCCTCGCCAAATACTAACAACAATAATAATCATCTTCTGGAACCATTCACTTGTTTACCTCATTAAGCCTGCACAGAAAAGCAAGGCTTTGAACTGGGAGGAAAAAAAAACCCAAAATATACAGACCTACTGACCTGTGTTTGCAAACAGGCGTGTATGTGTGTGTGTGTGTATGAGTGTGTGTATGAGTGTGTGGTGTATGTATGAGTGTGTGGTGTGTCTGTGTAGTGTGTGTGTAGTGTGAGTATGTGTGTAATGTGTGGGGTGTGTGTATGAGTGTGTGTTGTGTGTGTATGTGTGTATGAGTGTATGTTGTGTCTGTGTAGTGTGAGTATGTGTGTAGGGTGTGTGTATGTATGAGTGTGTGGTGTGTATGTGAGCGTGTGTGTGTGTGTGTATGAGTGTGTAGTGTGTGTGTAATGTGTGTATGAGTGTGTGGTGTGTGTATGTGTAGTGTGAGTGTGTGTGTAATGTATGTGGTGTGTGTGTGTGTGTGTGAATGTGTGGTGTGTGGTGTGTGGTATGTGTGTGTGTGTGTGTTCTTTTTTTTGCCTCAAGCCAGGCCAGGCTAGGGTGATATTAGTGGTTTTGGGCATAGTTTGAAAACTGAAAGCACAACTACAAAGAATTCTATGTTGCTGCTTGAGGATAAAAGCTTCTCCCATTGATTAACATAAAGCCAGGAAGGCCTTTGCTCTCTCTTCTTTAGATATTCAGAGACAGAGACAGGGAGAGGGAGGAAAGAGGACCAACCCGTTTTTAAATGGGCCTTGGATTCTTCTTTTTCAAATTAAGAAACATCCTACAGCTGAGCCTTGTAGCCCACAGCTATAATCCCAGATTTTGGGACTGTGAGGCAGTAGGAGTGTGCGGCTGAGATACAAAATGAGACCCAATCTTAGGAAGGAAGGGCCAGAGGGAGGGAGGAAGGAGGGAGGAGGGAGGAGGGGGAGGGAGGGAGGAGGGAGGGAGGGAAGGAGGAGGGAGAGGAAAGAAGGCAGGGAGAGAGGGAGAGGGAGGGAGGAGGGAGAGGAAAGGAGGAAAGGAGGGAGGGAGGAACACAAATGCAGACACCACCTCACTATCCCCAATTCCTTGGGAGGAAAGATGGAAGATGCCCGAGAAGGAAAAGGAGACTTGGATTGTGACCCCTCTGCAATGAGACTCCCACCTCATGAGCTAAAGATGCTCAGAGGCATTGAAGGACCAGCCGCATGTAAAACTCAGACCTCTGTGCAAAGAGAGGCCCTGTCTAGAATCACCTTTGGACAAAACCCTGCAGAGGCCAGAGCTTACCCCAACTTTCCGAAGCAGGTCCCCAACGATGTTTAGGGCTGATATCCGGGCTGCAGGTGTGAGCGGTGTTCCACTGTTAGAGCCGTCCAGACCTGGGAGTGCAAGAAGCATGGGTCCCCCGGGGTCCCCCAGTCCGTGTCCCCCCGCCACCACACTCAGACCGTGGGGGTGGGACCAAAGTGACACCTGCACTCTGATTCTTGTCACCATATTACTTCACTAAGGAGTTAACTGGGCAACAAACCAAGTCCACCAGCGTCTTTGAGTTCTTGGTAAGATTGTCTTAACATCTACTTTTTACCAAGTCCACCAGCGTCTTTGAGTTCTTGGTAAGATTGTCTTAAACATCTACTTTTTACAGGCTAATCTTTTTACACCAAGCCAAGGCACATCTAAGAATTCCACATAGCTCATCAATATTAACAATGACCAGGATAGATATATGCATGGTGAAAAGTCACAATTTGGGAAGGGAGGCAGCGTCCCTCCTGTCAGTCCAGGCATTAGGTTTGCAGCCATGCATCACCAGAGCCATCTGAGGAACCCACATGGAACCGCACCACTCAGCCTGTGGTGGCCTAACTCCCACGAGCACACCACGGCAACCCCCCTGAAGTAAACGTAAATTTAAGTTATAAGCCCCTCCCCCAACACAGCTAGTACAACCGTAGGCCCCACTGAGACCAGTGGAGCCTGAACCACTACCTCGTTCCCAGGTGTGGTGGTTTGATTAAGAATGGCCTCAACAGACTCACACATTTGAACGCTCGGTCACCAGGGGGTGAAACTGTTTGAAAAGATTACAAGGATTAGGAGGTGCGGCCTTGTTGGAGCAGGTGTGGTCCTGTTGGAGCAGGTGTGGTCCTGTTGGCGGTACCCTCGATACGCCCAGAGTGTACGTGTGGATCAGGAAGTGCCTGCCACCATGTTCTCTGCCACGATGGAAATGGACTGACCTCTGACACTGTAAGCCAGCCCCCCCGTTAAGTGCTTTCCTTTACAAGAGCTGTCTTAGTCATGGTGTCTTCACAGCACTAGAACAGTGACTAAGACACCAAGTGAGTCATGAGAACCCTGAAACACAGGAAACTGCTCTGGGCTCTGGACTGACCACACCAGTCTTCACCAGCAAGGCTTACACGGTGAGCTAAAGCTTATGCTCTGGAAACCACCCCCCCCGCTGTACTGGAACTCACTATGTAGACTGGTCTTGAACTCAGAGAGCTCCACCTGCTTTTGCCTCCTAAGTACTGGGGTGAAAGGCATTCACCACCACATCTGGCCTAAGAGCAAACTCCTTGAATAAAAAAGAGAACTCTCCCTCTGGCCCATTTCCTCACCACGTCTGAATATCCCCGGTGTGTTGAAACCGGAGCTGGGTCCTCGGGGAGCCGTGGGAGTGGACGGCACAGAGCCCGTGGCTTGCACAGCCATGTCTGTCCTTTCGGTTTCCGCGGAGCCTGGCATGGCTGTCCGGGGCTTGTCTTGCTTCTGCTGCACAGCCAGTTCCTGCCGAAGATCTGTGCAGGGAAAGGATCAGAATGTGAGACCTTACTTTTGGGTGAGAATGGAGCCAGGGCAGGAGGACGACGACCTAGAAATCAACCTGGAAACGCTGACTGGAGGGACCCCACATGCCCTCCTAACAGCTATGAAAAAACAACCCTGACTGGAGGGACCCCACATGCCCTCCTAACAGCTATGAAAAAACAACCCTGACTGGAGGGACCCCACATGCCCTCCTAACAGTTATGAAAAAACAACCCTGACTGGAGGGACCCCACATGCCCTCCTAACAGCTATGAAAAAACAACCCTGACTGGAGGGACCCCACATGCCCTCCTAACAGCTATGAAAAAACAACCCTGACTGGAGGGACCCCACATGCCCTCCTAACAGTTATGAAAAAACAACCCTGACTGGAGGGACCCCACATGCCCTCCTAACAGTTATGAAAAAAAACCAACCCACTTTCCTTCTGTGTGCAATACAGAAGAATGTAAAACTGTGGCTCATGCTTCACAGTGAAAATGGCTAAAAAGACTCCACACTGTGGTATAGACACAATCCCAAGTGAAGCCCCGCCCCCGGGTCCTTTTTTCTCTGGAACACATGGCCAAGTTTTGTTTTTTCTGTGTGTGTTATTTTTTTTTCCTTTCTTTTTGAAGTTTGAGGACAATTAGAGTTCAAGAGAGAAGCCCTAAGCAGGCAAGCTGGGAATCTCAGCAACTACCAGACGGAAGCTTAGAGAAAGGAAGAGAGAGCCACACCTTTGAGTTGGGCTAATGCACTCAGCAAGGGAGTGGGGAGGGAGTAAGAAAGCCCAAAGCGCCAGGCTTTGGTCAGCCCGGAAAGACACAGAGGAACAAGGAAAAGCAACTCAGAAAGCTGGGTAGACCCGCAGAGCAGCAAGGCAGTGGCTCAGCCTTCTGGCGAAGGATCCAGGGTGGCCACAAGGGTCCTCCCAGTCACCTCCTGAGCGCCAGATGCCAGTGTCTACCGCCACCAGCCCTTCCAGACCTCCTCTGTACACGGTTCGAGTGTGCTGCAGGCTCCCACTGAGCACAACACAAGTGATTTTAGGTAGACGTGCCACCTAAAATGTATCTGTGTGTCTGTGACTAATTCTCTCCCCTTCCACGAAGGGTCTGGCCCTCTCTCCCATGACAACATGCCTACCAGTGCACACTCATTTTAATGACTATTTAACACTCCCCAAAGTAAATTCCTATGATTTATTATTGGTATCTTCATTACTAAAGGCTACAGGTCGGAGACACCAGTAGCTCTTATCTAAAATGTTTTGGACCAGATGTCCTACAGATTTCAGAGTTCTCTAATTTTTGTGATATTTGATTGACTTTATCAATCGAGAATGTCTCCCATGCAAAGTTTTGGTTTTGTTTTGTTTTTTTGAGACAGGGGCTCTTAGGCCAAGCTGGCCTTGAGCTTTCGATGAAGCCAAGTGTGACCTTGAACAACTGATCGTCCTCCAAAGTGCAGGGATTACAGGTTTGCACCACCATGCCCGGCTCCACTGAGTAGGCCTAATGGGATCCAACATGTTCTGAAATCTAAAACTATTTAAACTTGACTGTTGCTTTTAAAACCCTATCTAGTGGCTACGTCACTGCAAATTAGACTGTCATTTAAAAAAAAAAGAGAAAAAAAATGAAGGGATGGCATGATGGCACCTTTAATACCAACATGCAGGAGCCAGAGTTCGAAGCCAGCCTGGTCTACAAAGTGAGCTCTAGGCCAGCCAGGACTACACAGAGAAACTCTGTCTTGAAAAACAAAAATAAATAAATAAACAATTAGGACTTGGAACAAACTCTTGCGCACTCATCTTGGATGGCTCACTAATGAAGGCTTCATCATTCTAAAATCTTCATGCCTGGGACAAGAGGAAAAGTTGGCCAACAATACAATGGCTTCTGCCAGACCTCAAACCGGCCTGGTGTGTGTGGAATCATTCCCTGAGGAGTCAGTCACTCCCGAACCGAGGGGGACAAACCCATGAACAAAGCTGAATCTGTCTACCCCACGGCTTTTCCTTCAGACAGGAGGTGTCTGACAGCCATCCCAGCAATCGCTGACAGCCGCTGATAATTTGTAGCATTCTGGCAAGTGTCCATACAGAGTTGTCCCTTAGCTCTGTGAGGCCTGCTCACGTACCAATCAGCTCCAGCATCCCTGGAAAGGCAGTGCTAGGCAAGGCCATGAATAACGTTGTCTTGGGTAGAGAGGCACCACACGGGGAAAGACAGGGAAAGCCTCTGACCTCTCGCTTCATCCTTCAACCTCTGCACGGATTCTAGAAGATTCTCCTTCTCGTCCAGCTCACTCTCCAGGAAGGCATTTCTTTCAATTGCTTGATTCAAGCGCTGCTCAAAGTCTTCCAGGGACATGATTGTGGCTCTGGGTAGAAGAAACACAAAGTTATCCAAGACAGCAATGGCAGCATCTGCTGGTGCCTCAGACCTGGGAGATATGACAGCAGATGCACCTGGGCTACCCTAGATACCACAGGCTTTGCCAAGTCTGCTAGCCTGGGCTACCCTAGATACCACAGGCTTTGTCAAGTCTGCTAGCCTGGGCTACCTAAATACCACCGGCTTTGTCAAGTCTGCTAGCCTGGGCTATATAAATACCACAGGCTTTGTCAAGTCTGCTAGCTTCCTAGGCCTCAGGATCTTCACAAACAAAATGGAATCATCAGAACTGAGAACATGCACCAGGCTGTGTTGGGGGTCAAGTCTGGTGATTTCCATATGGCACTTAGAGATGACCTGAGGCCTTGCCCATCAGGGTCACATGCTCTGTCCCACCATTGATGGCAACCCGCTCCAGCTTGTCTAGGAAAGCTAATTAACATTCAGAATAGTCCAACACACACACACACACACACACACACACACACACACACACACACACACACACACACACACACAGCACTCATCTCTTAGTGACTTTAGATTTCTTAAAGTGGTGCTGCAGACGTGGCTGTCACTAAGTGCTCAGGAGTCTACCTGAGCTAGGAGCCCAATGTCCTCATAAAGCGCCGGGTACACAGCATGACCGCATTGACCGAATTGAGCCAGTTTAGATGGTTTTCTGGCTGCCTAGCCAGCCTACCCAGGTTCACCTAGAGACCCTGTCTCAAAAACATGCAGGGGGATTCCCTCCCCACGCAAATACGTGTGATACTTAAAAAGCTGAAGTTTCAAAAGCTCTGGGCACTCAACCCTCCAACAGCCACTCCTGTGTGAACAGGGAAGTTTATTTCACTAGAACACAGAGGCAAATGGTGGCAAAGGCACCAAGGGCTGTAACTTCAAAGTGACATAATAACGACTCCATTTAGTGTTCAGCTCTGTCTAACCCAGCTACTTTCTCTGAATCTGTTTCCTCAGATAGAAAGCAGGGGTAGTAAGGGCATCCCTGTGACATGAGGCAGGGATAAAGTGGTCCAGACAGCAACCCACACGCAGGCTTTCCATGCAGATGTGCTCACGGTGGCACTTTTAATTAGAGGCCCTGTGTTTGCCCCAGAAGGCATCTGGGGAGCTGCCGCAGGAAGCAGCTCTGGAGTCTACAGTTATCACCACATTCCTCCCTGTAAGCTCACTGGGGTCTTGCTCCTGCAACTGCAGGGGAGGGCTGAATCCGTTAACTTGTTCAACACTCCCTATTAACATCATGGTAGCACCTGTCCTCAAAGGATCTTAAAGAAAGCAGATGGGAAAGTTACCTAAGGCACCTACTTAGTAACACAAAATGAAAACATTCAGGAGTCTAACATCAGGACCCGTTCCCTGTCCAATACCCCGACACACAATGAAGAAAACCAAACATCTAGGAATTCCTAGATAGAGGGACTTGGATGCTTCTGGCAGATGTGTGCTCGGGACTCAAGAGGCCCAAGGGGTAAGGACACTGGTCCTCTGGGCTGGGGAGACGGCACAATGGTTAAAAGGTGTGCCCAGGGTTTGCCTGAGAGACCCCTGCTTCCATGAAGAGAGTGCAAGAGCAACGGGGATCCCCAACAGCAACCTCAGACCTCACATGTATGTGTACACACATGAAACACGCATATGCACACATGTACACTGCACATACACGGAAATGAAAAGAAGAGAGATTCTTCAATAAGCTAATATCAATTTGTTATCACTGTAAGAAAAACATCAATTGGTATTGGCGGGCTACAACAGACACAAGAGGAGACAGACTTGAAAGACTAATGGTAGGAATCACTACAGGCAGGAAGCTCACACATCCCCCTAGAGTCTCAGAAATAAACAATAGGCCAGGTGTCATGGTATACCCTTGTAATCCTAACGCTTGGGAGGGTAACATAAAAAGATTACAAATTCAAGGCTAGCCTGGAGTCAACAAAGAAACACCGTCTCATTCCCCTGCCCCCTCTCAAACTAGAAAAGCAACAAATCAAAACATAAGCCAAGTGCCTTATTTATTTATTTGTTGGTTTGTTTGCTTCCTCTGCCTCCCCAGTGCTGGGATCAAAGGTGTGTGCTACCAGGCCTGGCTAAGTCAAGTGTTTTAAAAGACTGGATAACAAAAGGCCTTCCTGTCTGTCTGTCTTGAATACAAAAAGTCAACCCATGCACACTAACTAAAGCACACATTAGACCAAAGCAAAAAACCCTCCAGATACTTTGGCTCATGTCACAGACAAACATGAAACAATGAACATGCCCACATAAATCCAGTCTCAACATACTGGGTAGGGTGACACGGTTTTAATTCTAACACTTGGGAGGTAGAGGCAGAAGGATCCGGAGTAAAGGGTATCTGATGGGGGAAGTCCTGTGTATGTGTCAATAAAGCACTGTTGGCCAATAGGGAAGCAAGATAGGTGGGACTAGGAGTCGAGGAGGACTCTGGGTAGGAGAAACACAGAGTCAAGATGTAACTGCCATAGGGATAAGAAGCCCGGAAACTTCTCCGGTAAAAGAAATACTTAGATTAACAATTATGGGGTAAATACTTAAGTCAGAGCTAGCCAGTAAGAAACAAGCAAGGCCAACAGCTTCATAATAAATACAGCGTCTTGTGTGTTATTTGGGGACTACAAAGCGGCAGAGCCCAGGCGATTGGTGGGGAAAAAAGCAAAGCGGCAGACAAGAAAAAGGCTTCTCTCTCAACAGGTATCTGTGGTAACAGTGAGTTCAAGGCCACTCTACATGGAACCCTGTCTAAACTTTTAGAAGACCCCCTTTCACTCTCCCCCAAACTCTAGCTTCAAAATGTGTAATAACATTACACAGAGAAACCCTGCCTCAAAAAAAAACAAAAATTGTGCAAACCAGTGAGACAGATGAAGCTTGGTGGTGGAGCACTTGTCCAGTGTGCAGAAGACTCTGAATCTGATTCCAAATACGGGAGGGGGAGGGAGAGGTAGGGAGGGGGGAGGGAGGCAGGGGGAGGGATGGTGAAAATGTAGCTCATAGGAAATTAATACCATAGCTATAGGTCTTTTAGAATTCAAATAGCATTTCTCATCTATCTGATTGGCAAAAACGCTAATTCTAAAAACCACCATGTTAAGGAGGCAAATTGGAAAACAAAGACTTGGAACAGAGCCACCGGGAATATAAACTGTCCTATCCAGGTCACAGAGATGCGTGTCCTCAGACAGGGAGGACCCACTGCACAGGTACAAATCACAGGAGACTCTTCCTTACAGACACACGCATCAGTAAAGGAACCAGGAGGCAGTAAGACATCCAGTCCCACGAGCCCGATAAGTCAGTCATCATGGTATCAGCCCGTGTCAAACACTCAGTAGACAAACAAGGGTGTTCTATGTCCTCTAACAGACAGACATCTGCAGCATCCATTGTTAAGTGGAAAAGCAAGATGTACAACTCTGAGTACAAAGTGCTCTGTTATGGGGACCAGAGGCGGAGGAGTAACAAGGCCTTTTGTTTTGCTCCATCAGCATATATTAATTGAACTTAAAGGTTTCTTATGACACTCTCATTCACGCACATCATTTTGATGTTTGCCATGACCACTCATCACCCTGTTTTGTCACCCACTCCGTCCTGTGTTATTTCCTTTGCTTTTATGTCTTTGGCGTGTGTGACACTGAAGAGTGCACTACTGAAGGAAAAGTCTCAGTCGTGACCATTAACTGTCTGTCAATCCTTGGGAAGATGTGGGGGTCTCATGGGTGTAGGGAAAAGGGGCCAGTCAAAGAAACACACCCTGAGCAGAGCCAAAGAAACACACTTTGGCCCTGCAACCAGAACCAAAGAAATGTACCCTGACCCTGAGACCAATGCCAAAAGAACACACTTTGTCCCTGGAATCAGAGTCAGCGAAAGAAATGTACCCTGGCCCTAAAATTGGAGCCAAAAGGCTAAAAAGGACCAGGGAAAGAAACACACTTTGGCCCTGAAACCAGAGCCAAATCTGACCCTAACCCTGTGAGAAAACTAACCAATTCTCGAGCAGGAGCTCTAGCCAATCTGAGCTCAGCACTGAAATCTGACCAATCACCACCCAGGAAGCCCTATATAAACCCTGTGTCTGTTCAGCTTGTGGCTGTTCACGCTACCAGGCTGTCCTATGCCACTCTGGCAGAAGGCAGCCACTCTCCTGGATTCTTCCCTTCCAATAAACACCTTGGATGAGCTTTGGGTGAAGATCTTCTTTTGCAGCAGAGCAGAGACGACCCTGGGCAGAGCAGAGGGAGCAGAGCTGTAACACTTTTGCCAGGGAAACCCTTCCCTGGCAGAGCAGAGTTGTTACACAGAGCTGAACTGTTGCAACTTAGCCTGAGAAACCTACTGCCAAGCAAAACTGCTACACTGGGCGAACATCCTCAGCAGGAAGACCCTGTCCTACCTGAGCGGAGCAGATACACTGGGAAGCCTTTCCCTGAAGCAGGGCTGTAAGCTACTAAGCTTCCTACAACCTGTGGTGGTCCTTGGCTCCCGAGCTCCAGAATACCTTTCCACCTGAGCTGTGTAACACTCAGTATTCTGTGACTCTCGAGTGCCAGAATACCTGTCCCGATCCGATCTGACCGAAATGCCAACAATGGGCCTCTCCCACTTTCAAGACAGAGTGCTGAACATTTTTGATTTTCATTTGTTTTAATTTCCATTAAAAACGAGCAGAACCCCTGGGGCTAGAGATAGCTGAGCAATTAAGAGTATATACTGTACTGCTCTTGCAGAGGACACACATTCAGTCCAGCGCCCAGGTCATGTGCTCACAAATGCCTGTAAGTCTGGCATGCATTGACACCTACATGTACACATCTATACACACACACATTACAATCATTTTAAAAGGGTCTGGAGAGATGATTCAGTGCTTAAAAGACCAGGGTTCAATTCCCAGCACCCACATGGCAGCTTACAACTCTAGTTTTAGGAGATTAATGTTCTCTTCTGACCTCTATAGGTACTGTAACACAGTGCACATAAACATTTAAAACCTTTAAAAAATTCAAAGAAACAAGCCAGGCATGGTGACACACACCTTTAATGTTAGCACTAGGAAGGCTGAGACAGAGAAACCCTGTTTGAGAAACAAGAAAGAAAAGAAAGAGGGGGGAGAGAAGAAAGGAAAGGAAAGGAAAGGAAAGGAAAGGAAAGGAAAGGAAAGGAAAGGAAAGGAAAGGAAAGGAAGGAAGGAAGGAAATTTAAAAACACACCTTGGGCTGGTAGCACCCCGCACCCACAGACAGCTCATGCTCTCTTGTGACCTTCAGCCCAGGGCTCCTGAAGCCCCTTCTGGTTTTGTAGGTGCCCACACACAATGTATTTACATACACACGTAATTAAGAACAGTAAGAATAAATCTGGGGGGGGGATCCTCTACTCCCGCCTGTATTAGTTTTGAAATGTGAGAGTGTACTGACTTCTTTGGGAAACCGTGTTATTTGTTGATTGGCTGTTGATTACTCACGATAGGGCTCCTCTGTGCTGCAGGTGGACGTTTCTTCCCCACCCACCAGTTCCCAAGTAACTGACATGAAGTCTTTTTTGTTTGTGCTTGTTTTTTGTTTTTTCGAGACAGGGTCTCTCTGTGTAGCTTTGGAGGCTGTCCTGGAAATCACTCTGTAGACCAGGCTGGTCTCGAACTCACAGAGATCCGCCTGCCTCTGCCTCCCGAGTGCTGGGATTAAAGGCGTGCGCCACCAACGCCTGACCCTGACCTGACATGAAGTCTTAATATTAATTATAAACATTCAGCTAATAGTTCAGACTTGTCCTCGCTAACTCGGACATTTTAAATTGAGCCACATTTCTTTCCTATGCTTTGCGTGTGGCTTGGAACCTTTTCTCAGTACAGCATGCCCCTCTTGCTTCTCTTCTGCTGACTCCAGACTCCACCTTCTTCTCCCCAGCATTCTCAGTTTGGCTCTCCTGCCCAACCTGTTCCGCTATTGACCAGCCAGTTTGTTTGTGAAGCTAATCAGAGCGACATAGACTCGAACAGAGTAAAGGAAGTTGGGCAGGAAACGATTGGGTGAGAAAGCCTGACACAGAGACAATGCCAGAAGAGAAAAGCAGAGTCAGAGGGGTCGCCAGTCAAACGCAGAGGGAGCAGGGTGCTAACAGAGGCACCACCACGTGGCAGAATATAGAAAAGAAACGGGTCAATTTAAAGTGTAAGCGCTAGCTAGTAACAAGCCTGAGCTACCAGCTGAGCATTTACAATCAGCATCAAGTTTCTGAGTGATTATTTGGGAGCAGCTGTGGGCAAAGGAAAACTCTGGTAGCCCTGGCTGTCCTGGAACTAGTGTAAGTCAGGCTGGTCTCAAACTCACAGAGAGCCACCTGCCCCTGCCCCCAGAGTGCAGGGATTAAAGTTTTGTGCCACCATCTTCCAGCATGGAAACTGCATTATTGGTCCCAATTCTTCTCTGTCCCTGCGCCCACACCCTTACTGGAGCCTCACGGTGGGTAGAATATACTCTCCCACCCTCTGACTCAGTGCGACCATGTGACTTGCTTTTGATCAAAGATATATGTGTGGAAACGACTGTGGCTCGCTTCACAATGTGGCTGTGATGTCTGAATTAAAGTCACTGTTGCTGTGATGAAACCGTGACCAAAAGCAACCTGGGGAGGAAGGGTTAGTGTGGAACACACGCCCACATCCCTGTGCATCACTCAGAAAGCAACCTGGGGAGGAAGGGTTAGTGTGGAACACACGCCCACATCACTGTGCATCACTCAGAAAGCAACCTGGGGAGGAAGGGTTAGTGTGGAACACACGCCCACATCACTGTGCACCTGGGGAGGAAGGGTTAGTGTGGAACACACGCTCACATCACTGTGCTCCTGGGGAGGAAGGGTTAGTGTGGAACACACGCCCACATCACTGTGCACCTGGGGAGGAAGGGTTAGTGTGGAACACATGCCCACATCACTGTGCACCTGGGGAGGAAGGGTTATCGTGGAACACATGCCCACATCACTGTGCATCACTCAGAAAGCGGGGCGGGGCGGGGCGGGATCCTGGAGGCAGGAGCTGATGCAGCAGCCATGGACAGGTGCTACTCACTGGCTCCCCACTGCTTGCTCAACCTGCTTTCTTATAGGACCTAGGACCAACAGGTCAGGGATGGAAACACCCACCACGGGCTGGGCCCTCCCACATTAACCACTAATTAAGAAAACGCCCTACAGACTTGCCTGCCTACACTACAGCCTTTATGGAGACACTTCCTTAACTGGGGTTCCCTCTTCTCAAATAACTTCAGCTTATGTCAAGTTGCCATAAAAATATCCAGGACACATACCACAAACTACAGACTAGACCAAATATAAATCCAAAAATAGGTGCCAGGATAAATGAAAAATTAACATGCAACGGAACTGGGTTCAATACCTAGGGGAAATGATGAAAGGTCAAATAAACAGTGTGTATCCACTTGAAGAAAACCAAACTGGACTGGCATGGTATGCTAACCATAAGGATAAATAAGTAAACATAACAAAGGTGAAAACCAGTAGGGCGTTGGTGGTGCACACCTTTAATCCCAGCACTCGGGAGGCAGAGGCAGGTGGATCTCTGTGAGTTCCAGGACAGCCTGGTCTACAGAGTGAGTTCCAGGACAGGCAGGGCTACACAGAGAAACCCTGTCTCAAATAAATAGATAAGTAAACAGATAAATAAAAAGTGTGAGAAGCAGTTATCTGTCGCCACAGCAGAAACTCGTCGACATTTGATGAACGTGCCTCACAGGTGTGAAAACCTGAGTTCTAATCCCCAGAGCCCATGTGAAAGCCAGACTTGGCAGTGGGAGCGTCTGCAGTCTCAACTCTCCTACAGCGACACATGGGTAGAGACGAGACAGAAGGCAGGAACATCTCTGAAAGTTCACACCGGCTAGGCTGACATGCACAGGATAAAACAAAAAAAGCGACCCTGAGTCTAAGACAGAAGGTTAGGGCCTCGAATATTCCAGGCTGTCCTCTGACACACACGAATGATCGCGGGTGCACACGGGCATTCACACCACACCACACACATAAGTGGAGGCAAAATGAAGACATTTTCAGATAAGCACAAGCCTGTCATAAGCCGTCCTACCCTGTAAGACATCCTGAGGGTAGTCTTTCAAACTGGAGGGAACCAGACAGAAACGCACATCCTCAGGAAGGCAGGCAGAACACTAAGCACGCTCCATCTTGCCCATCAGTGCCACGTTCTTGGCGCTCAATTCCATATCTGCTGCCTCACGAACCTTTCCGTGCCCGCCTACCGTTTGGCTCTCTCCAGGTCGTCGTTGGCTTGCTCCAATTCCCGGATGTATTTCTGCAGCTGATCTTTAATGGCTTTCGTCTGAGCCAGATCATCCTCCAAGGCCGAGATCTGCCGGTAGCCTTCTGAATGCTGCATTTCAAACTTCTCCTGCAGGGGAGAACAGCAGCCGGGCCAGCCATTGAAGACTGTGACAATCCATGTTCACACCCCGTCACCACTACATGAAATGCGGGACATGGCTCGCGGATGGTGCCATCTGTCCATCTGTCCATCTGTCCGCAGAGGGCACGTGATGGCTCTCGTAAGCTCTTCCCCTCCTCCCACCCCAGCAAGGGTCTCGTCTTCTCTTCTTGAGAGTGTCTCACGCATCCCAGACTGGCCTCACACCAGCCGTGTTCCCAAGAACAAAGGACAACCCTGAACTGACCTTCCGGCCTCCTCCTCCGAAGAGCGAGGACGACAGGCAGGAGCTTCCGATTACCCAGGGGGCCATGCGTGCGTGCTAGGTGAGCATTCTCAGTCTCCAGCTGAGGCACAGCCTCAGCATGACCCCAATATCCTAAGGAATGTCTCTCCCTTCATTCTTAGGTCCCTGAGTTATCCCTGCTAACTTCTCCTGTGAGGCAGCTCCGGGATTCCTCTCCCAGCCTCTCCTAAGCTCAGCAAACAGAACCTTCTCTCCCCAGATGTGAAATTTCAGGTGAGAAGCAGTTGCACTAGTTAGAGTCACTACGGCTGTGATGAGACACCATGACCAAAGCGGCGTGGGGAGGGAAGGGTTTGTTTGGCCTACACTTCCATGTTCACCAAAAGAGGTCAGGACAGGAACTCAAGCAGGGCAAGAACCTGGAGGCAGGAGCTGATGCAGAGGCCACGGAGGATGCAGCATACTGGCTTGCTCCTCATGGCTGTGTTTTTATAGCTCCTAGATCCAGCCCAGGGATGGGCGGGCCCTCCTGCATCAATCACTAATTTAAAAATGCCCTACAGTCAGAGCTTATGGCGACATTCCCTCAACTGAGGCCCTCTCCTTTCAGATGACACCAGCTAGTATCAAGTTGACACAAAACTATCCAGGACAACAGAAGATGCTGGGGGTAAGTGACAGTCATTCAAAGTACGCATGCCCTGACTTTCCCAGCCATGTGCCTCTCAGCACCTGCCATCCTGGCCTCTCTCACCCGGTCCCTTTAGTGCCCAACAACCTTCATTCAAGGTGTCCACAGCCAAAGGAAGCCACATGCACTGGCCCAGGTCTCAGCTACAACTCAACACGGCCCTGCTTCACACAGGAGCACGGTAGGTGAGCTAAATAGCAGAACGCGAAAGGAAGCATCAGATACTTTTTTGTTGTTGTTTTTCAAGATAGGGTTTCTCTGTGGCTTTGGAGACTGTCCTGGAGCTTGCTCTGTAGTCCAGGCTGTCCTGGAACTCACAGAGATCCGCCTGCCTCTGCCTCCTGAGTGCTGGGACTAAAGGCGTGCGCCACCACCGCCGGGCCTGGAAACATCAGGTACTTAGTGTACGGGAAGAGCAGCTCAGTCTGACTGGCCAGTGCTTTCCAAGAGCAAGACACAATCCATGTGATGTCTCACTGGTTAGCTGCTGCCCATTTGGAACAGGTAACCTATGTACCTACTGTGTGTCGGCCTTTGGGCTGGTATGTGTTAATTCATCTGAGTCCACAGGAGAGATATGGAAACTAAGATTCAGTTACTTGCCTGGCCCAAGGTTGTGTTGCAACAGACAACTAAGCCAAGATCAGGGCCACCAGAGCATGTATTATTAAAGCAGGGATGCTAAGTAATTTCCATGCAGGTCATCAAGAAAGTTTAAATAAGTAAGGAAGTAAATAAATAAATAAATAAAGGCTAGCTCCTCTTCTTAACTAGATTCAAGAGCAAAGCTGTGCTGACAGTCAGATGTGCCAGGAGATGATGTCATGGCGCCCATGCCTGAGAGGCGGGATGAAGGCCCCCAAAAGGAATGACCAGCGAGAGCGTGGCTGTTAAGTGATTTGCAGGATGACAACAGGGAGGGGCCTTCAACACCCTAAGGCTTCTGGGGTTTCCTGGCAAGGATCAGACAGCACTTAAGCAAAAAGAAACTGCATAGGAGATCATTAACCTTGACCCCAGGAAGATGTGGAGACCCAGGCGCTAGCCTGCACAGATTCGGGTAGTTTGAATTTGGGACTGACGCATCACTGAGCTTTCATCTGGGACTGACTGCGAAGCTGATGGTTTGCTGCCTCCCGGGCTGCTGGGTGGTTGATTTACAGGCAATTACAGGTGGGGGCTCTCTCCTCAGTCTCTCTCTCCCCTCAGTCTCTCTCTCCCCTCAGTCTCTCTCTCCCCTCAGTCTCTCTCTCCTCAGTCTCTCTCTCCCCTCAGTCTCTCTCTCCCCTCAGTCTCTCTCTCCCCTCAGTCTCTCTCCTCAGTCTCTCCCCTCAGTCTCTCTCTCTCCTCAGTCTCTCTCCTCAGTCTCTCCCCTCAGTCTCTCTCCTCAGTCTCTCTCCTCAGTCTCTCTCCTCAGTCTCTCTCTCTCCTCAGTCTCTCTCTCTCCTCAGTCTCTCCCCTCAGTCTCTCTCCTCAGTCTCTCTCCTCAGTCTCTCTCCTCAGTCTCTCCCCTCAGTCTCTCTCTCTCCTCAGTCTCTCTCTCCCCTCAGTCTCTCTCTCTCCTCAGTCTCTCTCTCCTCAGTCTCTCTCTCTCCTCAGTTTCTCCCCTCAGTCTCTCTCCTCAGTCTCTCCCCTCAGTCTCTCTCTCTCCTCAGTCTCTCTCTCTCCTCAGTCTCTCTCTCTCCTCAGTCTCTCTCTCTCCTCAGTCTCTCTCTCTCCTCAGTCTCTCTCTCTCCTCAGTCTCTCTCTCTCCTCAGTTTCTCTGCCCAGCCTCACGCCTCTCGCCAGAGGTTGCCATGAAGAGGTTCTCTGCAGGCTCAAGGGCAAGTCTTGAACTACACAATTACTCAAGTCACTGCAGGTACCTACGTACCCTATGAAGGGCTCCCTCAGCCATTGTTCAGTCACAAACCTTCATCCCCTCAGCTTCCAGCCCTGAGTCCTCTTCAGGGCGAGAACTGAAGACTCCTCATCGCCTCTTTCAAGGGTCAAATGAAAACACTTCCAGGGTCAACAAGAAATTTGGACCCTACACAGGACAAGAGTGAGAGATAGTCTCTGGTATCAGGGTACCGTGACCAGGACAGGCTGGGCTCAGCTGTTCACTGGTGTAGACAATGCAGGCCTTGTGAAGCCAGGACTCCACCTCCCAAAGAAAGCTAGAAATCCTGATATTTCTGAGAAGCTCCATTAGTTTTTGATATTATATATATGTGTGTGTATATGTATTTTTACTTATTTATAAGATATACAGTATTTTTTTTTTTTGGTTTTTACGAGACAGGGTTTCTCTGTATTGTTTTGGAGGCTGTCGGTTCAGGCTGGCCTCTTAATTCACAGAGATCCGCCTGCCTCTGCCTCCTGAGTGCTGGGATTAAAGGCGTGCGCCACCACTGCCCGGCTAGATATACAGTATTCTGCCTGCATGTATGCCTGCAGGCCAGAAGAGGGCACCAGATCTCATTACAGATGCTTGTGAGCCACCATGTGGGTGCTGGGGATTGAACTCAGGACCTCTGGAAGAGCAGCCAGTGCTCTTAACCTCTGAGCCCTCTCTCCAGCCCTCTTAAACACGTATTTTTAAACCTTGAAACTGAGCTGGTAAGATAGCAACTGCTGCTAAGCTTGATGGCCCTGGGACCCACATGAGAGACAGAAGAGAGAGCACACTCCTGTGGATACAGAGGCCAGAGACCCACATGAGAGACAGAAGAACCCACTCCTGTGGGTACAGAGGCCAGAGACCCACATGAGAGACAGAAGAACCCACTCCTGTGGATACAGAGGCCGGAGAACAACTTGCAGACATCAGTTTTCTCCCTCCACATATGGATCTCACGGAACAAACCCAGGGCATCAGGCTTGGTGGGAGGCTCCTTTACCAGCTGAGACTCTCAATGGCCCAGGAGTAGTTTTGGCTGTCCCAACCTCAGGAGTTCAGAGTGCTATTTGTTTCTGGCAGATGAATCCCAGGAGTACTGCTCACTGTCTTACAGTCAAAGCTTGGCCCCTCACAAGTGTCCAGTGTCTGAGAGGACACATTCCAAGATGTTCTGCTACATCCTCCAAAACTACAGACACCACCACCAAGCCCTATACATACATGCTTTGTTATTCCCGTGTTTGCCTATGATAAAGCTTAGCTTACAAACTAAGAAATTACCAATAGCCAGGTGGTGGTGGTGGTGCACCCCTTTAATCCCAGTACTTGGGAGGCAGAGAGCTTAAGGCCAGCCTGGTCTACAGAGCAAGTTCTAGGACAGCCAGGGCTACATACACAGAGAAACCCTGCCTCAAGTAAAAAAAAAGTTAACAATAACTACAAAATAGAATGATTATGACACTATACCATATTAAGTTATTTAAAACATAAATAGTTTATGTCTGGAATTTCCCACTTAAGATTTTTTGATCACTGGTAACTAAAAACGTAAATAAACCACACGAGGGGTCCAAGTAGAACTACTGCAGTGCCCAGTTAATAAACCTGCTTATAACTGGCACAGTCCAACAGAAGTTCTAGAAGATGATATTCTATGATCCCTGTGTCCAGAAGTAAAACCCATGAGTGACAGGTGGCTACAGAGCACTTGAACTGTGGCTAGTGTTAGAAGAATTAATTTTTCCCTCGTTAGTTTTCATTTCAATAGCCACATGTCATTAAGAGATACCATGCTATACCTTGTAACATGTACGAAGCAGTCATTCTAAAGCCAGGCGTGATGGTGTTCACCTCTAATCCTAGCATGTAGGAGGTGAATGCAAGGGAATCAGGAGTTCAAGTCCATCCTCAGCTACCGTTCAGGGTTGGCCACAGTGAGCCTGGGCTACCTACTCAGTCTCAAGAATCTGCAACTCTAATGTAGCCTTTGATGAGCTCTCTTTGTTATGTCCTCTGTGAAACCACCACAGACCACCACCAAGAAGGGCTGTAGGCCAAGTGTGTGAATTGCTTTTCATAGATTTCCACCCACTGGGGCACCTGACAGGATTGCAGGGGGAGTGGAGTGGGCCGGGGTGCAGTCCCTTCACCCTGTAAGACTGCTTCTTCAGTTACGCAACCCTGCTTGCCATAGAGCCATCCCTGCACGACGGAACTGGGCAGAATTTGCCACTAGCTAACCATAGAGGCCTGGAGATCTGTACAGACAGGCAGGAAGTGACATAGCTGGGCAGAGTCAGAATATAAGCAGGGTGCTGGGCGGTGCGTGGCGCACGCCTTTAATCCCAGCACTCGGGAGGCAGAGGCAGGCGGATCTCTGTGAGTTCGAAGCTGGGCTGGACCGACAGCCTCCAAAACAGTACAGAGAAATCCTGTCTCGTAAAACCAAAAAGAAAAAGAAAAAAGAATATAAGCAGGGACAAACAGGAAATCGCTTTCCTCTCTTCTCTGCAGAGACAGATGTAGCAGGCAAAGGAGTTGCAGGTCGGCATTCCCGGTAAGCCAAGACCACGTAGAAATACTTAGATTGATAGAAATGAGTTAATAATTAAGTCAGAGCTAGCCAGTAAGAAACCCTAGTCGCCAGCCAACAGTTTATACCAATATAGTGTCCATGTGTTTCTTTGGGGCAGAGAAGGACCTGCCGGGCCAGGAAACTCTCATTACCCCTACCTGCAGACATGTCCCCTGGGCCCCTCACCTTCACGGTCTCCAACTCCATCCGAAGGCGGTTATTCTCTGACAGGAGGTCCCGGTTCCTGGTTTCGATTTGCTGCAGCTGAGTCTCCAATTCAGCTTCATATTCCCGACTTCCCTCCTGGAACTCTCGGAGTTCCTCCTGTGTAGTCTCTGCCCTGCAGCAGGATTGCAAATAAGTTTGTCACAGAATTACTGATGCTGGGTGTTTGTGCTGCAGCAGGGCGTGTGGGTCATGACTTTATTCCGCCACCACTGTGCCCATTTTATGGACAAGAAGACAGTCTGTTAAAGCTGGCTCTGAAGCACACAACTGTGATCTTAGCACTCGGGGGGCTGAGGAAGAAGCTCAAAAATTCAAGGCAGCCTGAACTACTTAGTGCTAAACCCAACACACGTGTACGCGCACGCGCGCGCGCGCGCGCGCGCACACACACACACACACACAAAACTCTTAAGATATGTGTACTGGAATACCAGTTTCGAATGAACCTACCTTTTTTCATTTTTATTTCATGGTATGAGTGCTTTGTCTGCACGCCTGGTGCCCAAAGAGATCACAGAGGCACCAGATCCCCTGGTCCTGGATTAAGGATGGCTGTGAGGCACCATGTGGGTGCTGGAAACTAACCCTGGGTCCCTCCTGAAGAGCAACACGGGCTCCTAACCGTGAGCCACCTCTCCAGCAACAGCCCATTTTGATAGGCACGGGCAAACCTTCTCCCTTGCAGAGGACCTGACGTCTAGGAATAAAGACCAATCCAAAATACACAGCGAGATGGCAGGAAGGTTAGGTGCCTCAGGTGTTTGTAGTTCAAACCCCAACTCTGTCTCTCCCAGCTGTAGTCTCGGGCAGACTGACTGTCGGCCTTCCTTCCTTAAGGCTCAGGGGCTCCTTCCTGGGTCAGCAGGGGTGGCTTCAGGGCATCACATGATAGGCCTGCCAACATGGCAGCCGCCATCCTCCCAGGAGGGAACACTGAGGGACCAGGCAGGACTGACCTCTGCTTGTAGGTCATGGCCAGGTCTCTCCAATAGTTGGCTTCTTCCTCCTCTGATCCAAAAGTCTTTCCCAAGTCCTCCATGGTAAAATGGGCCAGAGCTCACTCTTCCTGTGACATGGTGTCTAGGAGAGAAATTTAAACATCATTAGCAACTTCTGGGTAGACAGATGGTCTTTAATTAAAAAAAAAAATTAAACTTAAAAACCCTGAACTTCATGTTAGATCAGATGGGGAAAACAATGCTTTCTCAAAAGCTAAAACTAAATGAAAGTATCCTACCTCCAGCAGTTACAGCCTAGGGCATGTATGTATGTATGTATGTATGTATGTATGTATGTATCCATATGTATGTATGTATATGTATCCATATGTATGTATGTATGTATCCATATGTATGTATGTATGTATGTATGTATATGTATCCATATGTATGTATGTATGTATATGTATCCATATGTATGTATGTATGTATGTATATGTATCCATATGTATGTATGTATGTATGTGTATCCATATGTATGTATGTATGTATGTATGTATATGTATCCATATGTATGTATGTATGTATGTATGTATATGTATCCATATGTATGTATGTATGTATGTATGTATGTATCCATATGTATGTATGTATGTATATGTATCCATATGTATGTATGTATGTATGTATGTATATGTATCCATATGTATGTATGTATGTATATGTATCCATATGTATGTATGTATGTATGTATGTATGTATATCCCTGAATTTAGTTACACGTAAATGAGTACAAAGCACTAGGTGAGCACAGGGACAAACTCTGCACAGGGTGCTGCCCCACAACAAATGGCCCGGGTGTGGAGCACGCACTTCGGTGAGCTTAGACATGGGCGTGTCCCTGAGAAGCCACTAGCTGCCACTGTGATAATGCGTTCCTGCAGTGTCTAAGAACTCAGGGAGTCCCAAACCCAACCTGGAAGGTGACCACGGGCAGCGCGTGAAGTGGGAGAGCGTTCGGCCTTGTACTGGCATCCTAACACTCAGGAAGCCAAGGCAAGGAGACGGCGAGGTCAAGGCCCGGCTGGGACCCTGTCTCCAAGGAAACCAGACGAGGGAGGCAGACAGGGGAGGAAGAGAAGGACACTCAATACGCAGACGATGGAGAAGTAGCTGGGCTGGGGGGGGGGGCTGAGGAGATCCAGGAAGGCTGATGGCGGAGGAGGGAAAGAACAGCGGAGATTAAAAGCCAGGGGCTAAGTCACAGGCGACTTTTTAAACACATTAACAAACGCACGGGCCCACTGTACACACCTGCAACCCCAGCCAGCACTTGGGAAGCTGAGGGAGGAGAACAGAGAGACCCTAGGCTAACCTGAGCCACAGAGAAAGACGCTGGGAAGAGGGAAGGAGAAAAAGGAGAGACAGGGGACAGGAGGGATGCTTGGATGCCGCTGGGGCACAGTGAGGAGAGGACAGACGGACGTGACAGACGGGCGTGACAGACGGGCGCCTCAACCCGGAAGTGCATCCTGGTGGTGTGGCTGGCTGAGGAGGGCCAAGGTGTGAAAATGGGGATCTTCAGGGTCTGTAGAGATGGCTCAGAAATTAAGAGCACTGGCTGCTCTTCCAGAGGTCGTGAGTTCAATTCCCAGCAACCACATGGTAGCTCACAACCATCTGTAATGAGATCTGGTGCCCTCTTCCGGCCTGCAGGCATACATGAAGTGATGCATACATAATAAATAAAATCTTTTAAAAAAAAATGGGGACCTTCTGCACCGATCCAGAGCAAGAATTGGGCAGAAAAATAAGTCAGAACACAGGTGAAGGGAGAAAAGCCCAGGCACCCTTAGAAAGCAACAGAGGCCTGCTGCAGTGGTGCCATTTGGGGGTCCAAGAAAGGAGGGGGGGGCTGCAGCCCAGGGCAGGGCTCTGAAACCAGCCTGGGCAACACAGCGAGGCCTGGGGGGGGGGGGGCTGGCTGAGATGGCTCAGTGGGCACAGTGCCTGCCTCACACCATGAGCACGAGGACCTGTGCTTTAGCCCCAACACTCATGTAGAAAGCTAGGCTATACCCTCAGTGCTGGAGCGTTGTGTGACAGACAGGCCAGGCAGCCTAGCCAAATCAGCGGGCTCCAGACGCACTGAGAGACCGCGTCCCAAAACAGAAGGTGGAGACTCAACTGGCCCCAGTTAAACCCGAGCATCACAAAGCAAAAGCAAAGCAAGGCCGGGCGTGAAAGTGGGAGGGGAATCTATCTGAGAGGGCGTAGAGCTGAGCATGACCACAATGTGTTACACACTTGTATAAAAGGGTCAGAAAAGCAAGTGGAGAGTGAGCGCACGCCTCTAATCCCAGCACTCGGGAGGCAGAGGCAGGCAGAGCTCTGAGTTCCAGGCCAGCCTGGCCTACAGCACGAGTTCCAGGCCAGCCAAGGCTACACAGAGAGAAACCCTGCCTCAAAACAAACACAAAAGCTGACAGGGAGGCAGGGAAAAGAAGGAGCCAAACACCCACGCGTAACCAGTAAGACGGTGGGAATAAGGTGTGTGCGCGCTCACAGAAGTGAGGTCACTGTTGTGAAACGCATCGGGAGTCAGCAAGCCTAGCGCCTGTCCTCAGGCTCCTGAAGTGCCGAGACACGCCAGGGCACGTCCTCACCATTCTCTGGCGTGGAGAACTACCAGCGGAAGACAGCGGGAGAACTTTGATGGCGTTAAGTAAGAGCTGCCTGCACGGACAGCAGAAGAGCAGTCACACTGACCGCTGCTTCCTTCTCCGCAACAGGGACAGAGAGGGACTGGAGGAAGACGCCAGAGAGGGGGCGAGAACAGTCCAAGTACTTGTCCCTGACACACTGCTTTACAACAGACTTTTTAGTAAAAGAGGGAGGGAGACAGACAGACAGACAGGCTGGCTGGCTGCACCTATGTTAACAATTCTACAAACCAAATAACTGAACTTCAAAATAATGCAGAGTTAAAAAAATGCTGCAGATCAGAGTCAAATTATCTCGCGCTATTTCTAGCACCTCTGAAAGCCGTTCATCGCCCATCCCAGTATCTGACCTAAGGTCCTAGTAAATACCAAACCTAAAATGTGCTCGGAGAAGACGTCTAGCTTCCCCTAATCCAAACTCTACTAGGGCTTTCCCTGCTGTGACCCGTGTCTGCGGCCCCCAGCACCGTGTTCGGTTAAACACCTTAGGTGATTACTTTCTTTATTCTATAACCAGGAAGGTCTCAGGTAAACAACAGTAAAGCATGAATCAGTGCTCTTGGGCCACTGTCATTCATACTGGGTTCTGTAATGAACTATTACCCTGCTGAGGTGAGAACTGTGTTTTTGAGTTGAAAACACCGTTGAATTTGGAGTTTTAAAAGGTAGGCTTGGATGTAGCTCAGGAATAGAGCCCTGCCTAGAATGCACAAGGCCCTGAGTTCACTTTCCATTCCTGGGGGTGGGTCGTCGGGGTGATTGTATTTGAATAAGAATCAAAACAGAGTAACTATTGTTATTCGAAGGTCATTTTACTCTACTGATCCAGGTGCCAGGGAATCTTCCTACCGTGGTCTAAGCCCCCTCCAAGTCCTTTCAATCGTTTCTTCCACACCCACTGCGAGCTGGGCTACCTCCGAAGCACCCCAGTGCAGGGCGGTGGAGGCTCACACTAGGGAAGCCCCTATGGGAAGGAAAGGGGGTTTAATCTCACCAGGCTCACACATCCTAAGGTAGAACACACTTTGGAAGCAACAACAACAACAACAATAATAATAATATCCTCCCGGGATAAACCAAGTTAGCAAGCCAAGTCAAGGTTAAGATATTAAAAACCGGAGGCCCCTGCGACTTCAAGGGGATCGGCTGGTCACAGGTACTTTAACTGCGCAGGGAACGCTGTAAAAGGAATGACTTAAGTCTCTACAACTGGTTGAATACCAGCGTGTTGGGGAGGGGTGCCCGGTCAGATAACCTCGGGTTTGGGGAGCAGTCAGACTGTAATCCAGAAGCACCCCACCCCAGTCCTGAGAAGTCATCCTGGCGCAAGGCACAGAAGCAACAGCTAGCTGGCGGGGGAAAAGTCACCAACAGGAAGGTTCCAGCTTAGAAGGCAGGAGGATGCACGGAAACCCGAGATGACTAGGGAAGGATAAAGTCGCGACTCGGGATGCCCTCGACCTCAAAGGGGCGGTGAGCTGGGCCGACATCCGAGGCGTGGGGGGGGGGGGGAGCACTCTCACCATCTACGGGGTAAAAGTTTATCTGACCCAAAGCGATGCTGTCGGAGAAGTCCGAAGCGTCCGGCGGCCGAGCCCCGGGAGGCAGCAGTTGGTCGGGGACGCCGCAGGCGCCGAGCCGGGCTTGAGGAAGAGGAAGGGGCCAGCGGGAGAGGAGCAGAGCTGGCCGGGGCGAGCGGCGGAACTCGCGGGGGCAGAAGGCGGAAAGCTGGGGGCGGGGGTGGGGAGGGGATCGGGCCTGGGGGCCGCGTCCGCTGGGCGCCGAGGGCGTGGGGACCCCTCCTCCCCGGGGGGGCCCGCAACCCGGCTTCACTTACCCCGCCCGGGCGGCGACGATCCCGGGAAGGCGCGGGCCCACACGGCCTGACCGCCGTCCCAGCTCCGGCCACCACCTCCCCCCGCCCACTCGCAGCCCGCGCCTCCCATTGGCTGCCGCGCCCCGGGACGCGTCCGTCTCGGCCAATCAGCGCCGAGAAGCGAGGTTTGGAAACTTTTCCTCCACGGCCCCGGCGCGTCGCCGCCCAGCTCCCGGTGGGGGGGGGGGTTGCCGGGCTGGAGGGTGCTCGGGAGGCGCGGGCCGATGGCCCGGAGGGCGGGAGTGTCCGGGGCCCACGGGCGGCTCCGTGCACCCGGGGACGCCCGCACTCCTCCAGCACGTTCCTCCGTTCTTGCTCTTGCCCAGGAAGAGACAAGGGGGCCGTCGGTCGGAGCAGCCCGGGCTTCGGGATTAGCTGGTGTCGGGTTACACTTGCAAGCTCCCTTCCCAGTCCCAGAAATGCTTCCCTGCCCTAAGAAGGCTGAGACAAAACAGGCGTAGGAAAACAAGCTTTCGCCCGGCGCACACTTTACACCCCAAGTAGAATCTTTAACAGTAACTTCTCAAACAGCAGCATCTTTTAGCGTGGAAGGACTTGTCTTTGAATGCCGCCCCTTGCCCCTCGTTAGCTGTGTGATGTTGGGACGGACAGTCGTTTATTTACTCGAGGATAGAATGGGGTTTTGCTCAGGACTAAGTAAGTTGTAAAAACCGCTTCCCTGGCGCTTTGTAAACAGTAAGGTACACTACATGAATTAGTTAAACGACCATGCACTCAGGCACAATGCTACGTTCTTTTGTGGGTGGTGGCGGTTTTTTTTTTTTTTTTTTTTTTAGCCAATCCCATATTGTCCAGATTGGCCTCTAACTTGTTGCATGGCTGGTCTCGAAGTTTCGGTAGTCTTGCCCCGCCTCCTGAGTGCGAATTATGGGTATGGATGTTGTGCTACCTAGAGGATTGTATGAGGTTCTGGGGATGGCAGCAAGGTTCCAAGCGTGTTAGGCAAGCGCTCCTCCAACTGAATCGCACCTAGAACCGTGGTTTTGATTTTGTTTTGTTTTTTTTCCTAAGCAGCCTAGGCTGCCCTCGAATTCCTGAGCCTCTTTCCTCAGCCTAATTTTTTGCTGGGATCTTAGGCCCCGTTGACTCTTGACATGAAACAACTCTAATTGTTCATTGATGTATTTATTGAGTGCCGTTAGGCACCAGGTAATATTATAACCTGGTGAATAAACCAAAAAATCTGACCTCAAAGGCCTAACATAGTAAAGACAGATGCCAGATTTTACTGTTTGGGAGACCGGTGAGCGACAGAAAGACAAAATTATCTTATATTTTGGGACAATGCTGGGCTTCAACCTAGGGCCTTGGCCGTGTTAGGAAAGCACTGTACCACTGAGGTATATATCCCCAGCTTCCTGTAGTTGTTTAAAAGGTGAGAAAATAAAGCTACAGGAAATATAGTATGTTGCCCAAGCTATTTTGGTAACAAAAGGAGCTTCAGACCCACTTTTTTTTTTTTTATTCAAAACGTTCTGCCCATGGACTACTCAAGTAATGCCTCCTGCCTGTAATTCTTCTGTGACTCCTCGATGGTTCCTTAAAAGAAATCAAGGCACCTACAAGAACCCTGCTGAAGCCGGGCGTTGGTGGTGCATGCCTTTAATCCCAGCACTCGGGAGGCAGAGGCAGGTGGATCTCTGTGAGTTCGAGGTAGTTCCAGGACAGCCTCTAAAACAATACAGAGAAACCCTGTCTCGAAAAAAAACAAAAAAACAAAAAACAAAAAAAAAAAGAACCCGGCTGCTATATCAAACACTGAGGAAAGTACCAGTTTATTTATTCTTACTTTGTGTATATGGATGTGTTGTCTGCGTGTGCATATACCACCTGCATGCCTGATGACGCAGAAGCCAGCGGAGGACACTGAAGTCCGCAGAAACTGGAGTTGTAGATGGTTGTGAGCCTCCATGTAGGTGCGGGGTGGGTGTTCCAGAAGAGGAGGCAGTGCTCTTAACTGCTGAGCCATCTCTCCAGTGGCCCCTACCTCCCCCTCAATCATCTTCAATACACTAAAGCATTTTCCTGATACCTTCAGAATTTTATATGATTTATACCACTCTGAGGATTCTGGTTGGGAATCAGCACCCTGTTTATAAACTGAAGTGTAAAGTAGAAATGTATCTGTATGGATCCCACACAAATGATATCAATCAACCCATTTTAACTACTTGGTTGATAATTTTCAAATTTCTACATAAGGCACTGAAATAATAAGATCTTCTCAGAACATAATTTTGGGGGCTGGAGAGATGGCTCAGAGGTTAAGAGCACTGACTGTTCTTCCAGAAGTCCTGAGTTCAATTCCCAGCTACCACCTGGTGGTTCACTGCCATCAGAAATGAGATCTTCTGACCTTCAAGGACACAGCAGACAGAACACTATACATAATAAAGAAATAAACCTAAAACACACACACACACACACACACACACACACACACACACACACACACAAAACAAAAAAACAGAAATTTGGGCCAGGAGGTGGTGATGCATGCCTTCAATCTCAGCACTCAGGAGGCAGAAGCAGGAAGCTCTCCGAGTTCAAGGCCAGCCTCGTCTACAGATCGAGTTCCAGGACAGTCTAGGAGAGTGCTCTGCCACTCTAGGAGAGGAGTGCTCTACCACTCTAGGTGAGTGACCTTCAACTCACTTATAGTTTTCTTTTGAGCCAAAGTCCTTCTAAGTTGCCCAGGCTGGATCTGAACTCACCCTATAGCCTAGGTAAACCTTGAATTTACAATCTTCTTGTCTCTGCCCCTCAAGTAGCTGGAATCAAAGGCCTGGGTCACTGTATCTGGCCTTGTTCTCACTTTTTAAAAAGTCAATGCATTCCCTGTAGCTTTCAAGCGTGAGTAAGCAGAGTGTTCAGCTTCCCTTCCTTGGGTCCTGTCTTCATGAATAGAAGAGGGGGAAGGGAAACTCTGTTTATTAGCTTAGATCTCTGAGGAGCTGAACCAAACGCAGAGTAGCTAATGAAACATCAAAAACAAATCCGTCATCTCTGTTTCATAGACGTGAAAATTATTATTGAGAAAAAGGAAAAAAATTTGAAGCTTTTCTTGTTTGAGACAGGGTCTCTCTGTGTTGTCCTGGAACTTAATTTGTAGACCAAGCTGGCCTGGAACTCACAGAGATATGCTCGATTTAATAAAGAAACCTTTGTACTTGCATTTGGTGAGTTGTCTCCTTGGTGGGGGTCTTTTTGGGGTTCCTTGATCTGGGCATAACACCAGCCTTAGGCTTCAGGCCGTTCCCTCTGTCTTTGCCTCCCATCACCTGGTAGGCAAGCTAAGACTAGACAAATGTGCTGTTTCTGGGTTTTGGAGATCTGAACTCCTGGGTTGTCAGGCTTGCATACCTACCGGTCTACCCGCTCGTGCCATGGCCCCAGCCCTGGAAACATTCTTTTAGAAAGATTAAATTGTGCTCCCACTCACCCATCCATCCTCTCCTTGGCCTACATTTTGGTGTTTAAAAATGTATTTATGTATGATGTACGGGTGTTTGCCTGCATGTGTGTCTGTGTGCTGAAGGGACACTAGCCCACTGGAGCATGTGGTTCTGGCAGGCCTTGCCTCTGCCTTGCTAAAAACAAAAACATTAGGTTACACTCCTAAAGCTGGCCACCAAGGTCTCTGCTCCTATTTGACCACTTCCTCCTCCTGAGGCTGACCTATGGAAGTCCTGAAGTGCAGCAACCAAAAGGCCCCTGCGGTTCACCCAATTAACACGCCCAACCAAAACCTACCACTGCATCCTAGCCCATCCTAACACAGACTCCCCCTTTTCTCTTAAAAACCGCACCTGCAAGGCCATTTGAGTCAGAAAGCCATTTTTACTTTTCTTCCCCATTAGTAAAGGCTTGCTCCGTGAAAACAGGTGTGGTGTGCTTTGTGCCCGATCCCCAGTCCTGGAGAGAACCCTGGCTGTTCGTGGAACTGGGGGAGGGCTAGTGGTCTCTCTCCCGTAGTGAGTGTGAGCAGTGGCCTGGAAGGCTACAAAAGGTGTCAGATCCCCCAGGACTGGGCTCAACAGACTACTCTAAGCAATCTAGACACTCAGAATGCAATGGCAGCCCCCCACCCCCCATCCTCAGGAAATAGTGTTTAAAACTTACAATTCTCATTTTCTTAAGCTTTTATTTATTGATTATAATACCTGTTGACCCTAACCTCCCTCTTGACTAGAAAAAATATGAATCAAAGCCAAAGGAAAATGTCTTCCCTCTTTTATGTTTTGTGTCTAAAACTTGTTCAAATAGCAATTAAACGTCCCAAGTATTTTCCACTCCTTTTAAAATATTTTTAGCTGGTATTGTCAGTATTCAGAAATAGCTAGAATAAAATGGAGGTAAAAGAAACACCAAAAAGAGTACCATACTTGTTGGAGACTTTGAAAAAAAAACAGCAACTAGAATCTTTTTCATCAATTCCAATTCTTCATTGGGAAAATTCTACCTACACATAGATACAATGGTGCTCTTGGCAAATAATAAATACCTCGGGTGTGCCTCCTGGAGCATTCAATTGAAACAGAAAGGATTCTTCAGCTATGTTTTGAACTGGCGTTCCTGATGCAGGTTTTCAGCTGTCTTCATCCACTTGAGGCAAGAGCTACGGAAGCACCACTTATCTGGAGACTCAGAAGGAAGATGTTCTTGGCCATTCTGCTTCCTAATTAGTTAGCAAAGTTCATTTGTTTCCTGACGTGTGTGTGTGTGTGTGTACACTCACACAAGTGGTTTTTCAAGACAGGTTTGTCTGTGTAAC